TTTGTTTTGAGACAGGGTCTCACTCTGTCACCCAGGCTGGAGGGGCAGTGGCTGGATCTCGGCTCACTGCAACCTCCACCTCCCAGGTTCAAGCAGTTCTCCTGCCGCAGCCTCCCAAGTAGCTGGGATTACAGGCACCACCACCACACCTGGTAGTAGAGACAGGAGTTCACCATGTTGGCCAAGCTAGTCTTGAACTCCTGACCTCAGGTGATCTGCCCGTCTCAGCCTCCCAAAGTGCTGGGATTACAGGCGTGAGCCACCGCGCCCGGCCTCACACTTGCTTCTTACCAGAGAAGTTAAGCGATGGGCTCAGCCCCTTCCCCAACTGCTCTCTCCTGTTGCCTCTAAGTTGTTATCCTGTCCCGGCACCCATTGTGCTCTCTTTTACATCTGCAAGAGAGCGTCCTTCGTCCTGCCTCCCCACCAGCCTCTCCAGGCCCTGGTTCCTTCTGAAATACGATGCCAAAGGTGGCCCCCTCTATACTCAGGAATCACAGAAAGGCTCAGCGACTTGCTTGGAGCTTTGGGTGGGAAAACCCACCTGCTGGTCCTGTGACAACCCGGCCTCACTCCCCTGCCCCTTACAGCTGGAGGGGCCATTTGACAGCTGAGCAGGTGCAGGCTCGGAGGCTGGGACTGTTGCCCAAAGCCACAAAGCAAGAGTCGGGCAGTGCTGGCTCTGACATGGCTCCCAAGCCAGAGTTCTCCCCTGAGCCTCCTACCTCTCTCCGTGGACTCAACCATCCCTCTCTGGCTCTCCCAGCCTCTCCCTGGGCACGGCTGCTGCCCCAAGGGAGCTGATGTGTTTCTGTATCATGGGGTCTCTGCACATGTGGACTCTGCCTTTTCTCCCATCAGCATCTCACAGAGGAGAAAGCCAGGCCTTGGAGAGGCAGGGGATCCCTTCTTGCCTCGGTGGCAGAAGATGTTTTCAAAGTCAACTGATGCTGGTCCTTCATTCCTCCCTGACCCTTTATGATGCTGTGTCTCTCTTGTCCTCTAACCAAGAAAGGTTCCTGGCCCTCTGAGCCGTAGCAGGTGGTTTTGACACCGGGCGGCAGCCTGAGCTGCTTGGCCTCATCTGCAGCCCAAGCGTGCACCACGGTTGGACGGCTCTCTTCCCACCCCCAGATCCCATGGTCCATCTTCCGTCCTCCCCCTCAGCTCCTGGATCCCATGGTTCATCTTCGCTCTCTCCTAACCCCCCAGGCCCCATGGCCCATCTTCTGCCCTCTCTCTCACCCCCCGGATCCCATGGTCCATCTTGCATCCTCCCTCTCATCCCCCGGATCCGATGGCCCATCTTCCGCCTTCCTTCTCATCCCCCAGATCCCATGCTCCATCTTCTGTCCCTCTCTCACCCCATAGATCCCATGGCCCATCTTCCGCCCTCCCTCTCAGCTCCCCCTTGGCCTCCTGGGACATGCTTCTAACGTTCCCCACAATTAGCAGATGGTCCTCATGCTGTTGTGTCTCTGTCTCTGATCAGGCTGTTTTCTGCTGCTCAGATCAGTTTCTTACTCAGACAATGAAAGCTCTTTTATTCTTAGAGACAGGGTCTTACTGTATTACCCAGGCTGGTCTCAAACTCTTGGGCTCAAGTGATCCTCCTGCTTTGGCCTCCCAGAGTGCTGGGGTTACAGCTGTGAGCCACTGTGCCCGGCCAGGAAGCTCTTTCTTTAGGAGGAAACGGCTCTGCATGCAGGCAGTTGACCGAGGCGAAGTTTGGGGAGTTCGTGGTGGGACGAAGCGAGAGAAGGGTTACTGCATGGGGTGTAGCTGTGTCTGCTGGCATTTTGGCCAGGAGCGGCCTGCTTAGGAATAGGTACAGGTGTTCCGGGAAGGACAGGAGTGCCACCCTGTGTGCCCTTTGCCCTGGGCTGGCATACATGAGGCCTGTGGGCAGACTCACACCTTGTGCTGCCCAGGGAGTGTCCCAAAGCAGCGTGGCAGGTACCTGGGGCAGAAGCCAGGGTGACCGGTTCTGTCTTGGTTGTGGGGGCTTGCCAAAGGGCAGGTGCTTCTCTAGGGTTGGGACTTGGTGAGAGCAGATGCTCTGTGCCACCGAGATCGTGCGTGACCCAGGCAGCAGGTGCCGCACCTTCTTCCCACGTTCTCAGCACAGAGCACTTCCCAAACAGACCCTCACCACAGGGTTGGCACCTTCCGCAGTTCACAAAGCACATACCCGTGTCTGTTTCCCTGGACTTGCTGGGCAGCAACTCATCCACCCTCCCATCCACCTTCCACCATGTGTCCATTCACTCAAGCCACGCACAAAAACTGGCCTGTGCCACACTGCACCGAGCCCCAGATGCTGCTCAGAGAAGCAGCTCAGTGTAAAGGCCAGGCTGGGACCTAGAGCAGCTACAGGGGCCCGGGGGGCGGCGGGGTGCGTGGCCCACCTGAGGAAGCGCCGTGTGAACTGAGAGCTGAACGAAACGGGGAGAGTGGAGCCTCCACACCTGTGTCCGCCACCTGTGGTGATGACTCGGTTTCCCCAGATATCTTTTCGAGTCCTGAAGCCTGGGCCAAAATGCCCAGTCATCTCTTTTCTGGCTGGTTGAGTGGAGCCCCCGTCACGTGGCCGTGTCCCTGATGGACGGGGCCTGTCCTGCGTTCGCCATTCTCATCCCTCCCCTGGACTAACGAGCGTGTGTGGGCACAGATGCTGCAGAAGCTTCGGGAGGACGAGCCGCAGGTGGAGACGCCACAGGCAGAGCTGGACAGCCTGGGTCACACAGACTGGGTAAGACCCGCTCCTGCCTGACCGGGCCACTACGCCGCCCAGCCTGCCGGGGGTCTCTGCCTGGAGGGCCGTGGAGCCTTACCTGGGGCTGAGAGCCGGTCTCTTTCCCCGGGGCCCAGGCTCGGCTGTGGGTTCAGCTTATGCGGGAGCTCCGCCACGGAGTGAAGCTGAAGAAGGTGCAGGAGCAGGAGTTCAACCCCCTCCCCACCGAGTTCCAGCTCACGCCCTTCGAGATGCTAATGCAGGACATCCGGGCCCGGAACTACAAGCTCCGCAAGGTCATGGTGAGCGGGGCGGCCGTGAAAGTCGTGGCGAGTGGGACGGCCGCCGAGGGGCAGCCTGGCCGTTGGGCGGCCCACCTGGAGGAGGGGCCCAGGGTCACTGCTCTCTGTGCTGGGTACTGGGCGGTAGAATATGGAGTAGGGAGATGTGGCCCCAATTCCCACAGCTCGGTATCACTTCGGGGACAGTGACCAGGCAGGGAAGGGAAGTGCGGAAGGTTCTGGAGGACCAGGGATGGCCCCTGGAGGCCACAAGAGCCAAGGCTGTAGGAATTTTTTTTTTTTTCTTTTTTGAGACGGAGTCACTCTGTCGCCCAGGCTGGAGCGCAATGGCGCGATCTCGGCTCACTGCAAGCTCCGCCTCCTGGGTTCAAGCGATTCTCCTGCCTCAACCTACCAAGTAACTGGGACTACAGGTGCCCGCCACCACGCCCAGCTAATTTTTTGTGTTTTTAGTAGAGACGGGGTTTCCCTGTGTTAGCCAAGATGGTTTCGATCTCCTGACCTTGAGATCTGCCCGCCTCGGCCTCCCAGAGTGCTGGGATTATAGGCGTGAGTCACCTGCCTGGCCTGGCTGTAGGATATTTTTGCTTTAACAAAACTCATGGAGCCCTTAGGATGCGCTGGCATGGCTCTTTTTTTTTTTGGTTTTTTTTTTGGAGGGGTTTTTTTTTTTTTTTTGAGACGGAGTCTCGCTCTGTCGCCCAGGCTGGAGTGCAGTGGCACCATCTCAGCTCACTGCAAGCTCTG